ACCAATCAAATGTAGCCCTTCTGATTTGCAGCCAATCAGATGGGTCCATTCACGTAATACGCCCGCCCCTACGTAGACCCTTAGGATGGAAAGCAACACCCAAATTGAGTTAGCGGCGCCGTTCCCTTGTTTGTCACTCTGGCTCAGAGCAATGAACGTACTTTGTGCTGAGGTTTCTGGAATCAGCGCTGCTTTCAAACGTGAACGTGAGTCCGCTCGGTGTCGTTTATCATTTTTACCGGGCTGACTCCTACACGTGCCGGTGAACCAACCCACCTTCATGTCGCTAGTGTTCCACCGGGTGGTGAAGTTAGCCCCAGGCTCCGGTTAGCTTCCAGCTAAAAGGCTACAGCACTCTCCTCCCAGTCCCACCCTGCTAAAGAGGGCCTGGAAAAGTTCCCCCACACATCAAAGTGATTTGCTGCTGTACATAAACTGTCAGTCAGAAGCTCTGCTAGCCGGTAATCTTAGGGGAGCTAGTTCAATTTGTTAGCTTGTTATCAGAATCAGTTACAGTTTCATCATCTGAGCTGCTTTATAAGATCTAGTTAAACTTGTTCAATTTGGGGTTAAAAACCAACGTTTTCTTATATTTTCCATGTAGTTTTTTTTTTTTTTTTTGCCAGTTCCTCTTCTGAAAGGTAGACAACTGTTTTTCTCTTTCCCTTAAAAATCTTAATATTCTCCTAGTTTGGCCCAGCACAGATCACTTCCCAATTACAGCAACAGCCTTGTATCATAACCACATAAGTGGAGAAAATGCTCAGTAGCAATGAGATAATTTGCTGTTGCATTTAAGTGATGTTAACTATTATTTAACATTTAAACTTATTTTCTGATATTTCTATTTATTCAGAAAACCCTGGTAAGGGATGTTTTTCTGTATTTGGAGCATCAGAAAAAGTTTTATGGTGGAGGTGATGTTTTAAAGTCACTGAGAAACTGCATGCATGCAGTTTGTTGTTTTGCTGCTAATACAGTAGCAGGTGCAGCTGCATATTTTTGCAATAAAAATGTTATGTTGTAATGGAATTCATGCATTAGTTTTTGTTTGCTTTGAACCCAGAGCAGACGTCACACGCCAGACGACATCAACACTGCATACTTTAGTATTTGTTCATTTATTGCAAGTAATGTCGATATCGCAATATTAAGCACTGTTATCGGATATCGCAGGTTTTCCTAATATCGTGCAGCCCTAGTTGAAACCATAGCCGCTGTCTTCAAGCTGTGTCCCAGCCTACATTTTAAATTTTTACTTATCATCCAGCTTCCACTAATACTTCATGTAGGTCAGTAAAGATGGCACTCACACAAAACCCCACTCTATGGTGCTCCAACACACACACACACACACACACACACACACACACACACACACACACACACACACACACACACACACACACACACACACACACACACACACACACACACACACACACACACACACACACGTAGACATGAAAACGCATTAGAATCAACAGGAACAATAAAGTTCTGAACGACCCTGTTTAATAAAAACAAACACTGAGGTACAACCATGGATACGTAGAACAGCAGATAGCTGAATATAAAGCCATGCTGCATATTTAATGTTCTAAAGAACTGCAATATGGTGCACAGCAATAAAAAAATCATCATCACAGGCAAGCATCACAGAGCTGGGAGTGTGACAGTCTAACAAGAACTCTGTTGCAAACATGTTTCAATAAAAAGCCTGCCAAAAGTCCTCCCTCGGTAGGTTTAAACCCTGAACACATGCAGACACTTCAATAGCCACTCACACACACATACGCTCCCCACTGAGACTAATAAATCTTAATCAGATCACACAGCTCTGATGGACTTCGTTCACAGAGGAGGTCTGAAGCCTGTCAAGAAGCGCAGACCGTTCTCCCCTCTTTCATTTGGTTTCTCCCCAACTCACTCTGCTTTTCATCACTCTTTTTGCAACAGCCTTCTTTGTATCACTTGTCTCTTTGCTCTGCATGCCTCACCCCGGTCCTCTTTCTTTGTATTTGATCTCTTCATGATTAACCAGGAGCCGATGTGGGAGGAAAAATGACCATTAATTGTTATAATAGGGCTAAAATTGAAGGCAACACATAGATCAAAGGAAAAGTCTGTTTCATTTTTTTATTCACAGACAGGCTGCTGTGTTCTTTTCGCTACACAAGCTGGTCCAGTGTCATTTAGGAAATCTCCGAGAGGGAGCTTGGTTTGGTCTGTGCTTGTAGAAAAAAAAGCACAACTGAGCTAAATAAAAATACACGTGACAACTAAATTATAAGATTGCATTTTTCATATTTTATTGAAGTGGCCACTAATGGCTGAAACTTTACTTAAAGTGACGATGTGTGTTTTCCCTGGTGATGGGGGCAGTACATACCTAAATCACTGCAAGCAAGCAGTATTTTTATATTCAAGTAAAGCCTGATTTATGCTTCTCCGTCTGCGTCAGTGCGGAGTCACGCAACGCCATGATCCGTCCTTGCGTAGGGCTCCGGCAGGCACGCAAGTACGTACGGAGTCGAGCCCACTTTTTTAAACATCCGTCGAATGAAACGGATTACGCAAGCTTGTGATTGGTCAGGACGCCGCTGTTGTTTACAGCGCCGCCATTGCAAAGAGAGCCGAGGATAACTAGCGGCAGACACGGAGAAGCTTGAAGAATACCTCGCAAAAAAACTCTAAAAATATAAATGTTTCATTCTCCCGTGACTGGAGGAGTGAAAAGATGCGCAGCAAGCGTTTTATTTGTGGACGGAAATGACAGGAAACTTGGGTTTAGAGGTGGGGAGCGCATGAAGCGGTGGGAGAATGAGAGACAAATATGTCTGTGTTAAAAAGTCTCTTATATACAAAAAAAAAAACACAATATAAACACACGATCTTGGACCGATACATGACAGGATACCACAGAACAGCGCTACGCCCTCTGTGGTCCTGCCGGGCAATTGCTTTGCAACACTCTCCAGGAGACGGAGAAGTAAAAGAGCAAAACGCTTCCGTCAATCCGTGCGTGTCTGTCCCTTGCGGAGCTGATGGAGAAGCATAAACCAGGCTATAGACCCTACCAATGGATAGCCATTAGGGTCAAAAATCCCTATGAGTGCAATTTTTGAAAGATTACTTCATCAGATCTGAAGATCATTTAATCTCCAGGAAAATAACAAGCACATCAGCCTCCCTTTCATCACCGGCAAAGAGGTAAATGAGTAAAACGTTTATAAATGGCGAAGGTTTGGTAACCGCTTGTTGCAAATCAGAGAATGTGTTTTGTCCTCATTGGCTCCTGGAAGAAAACACATTGTCTAATATGGCATCGTCCAGAGACTTAAACCCGCTCCCATGTTTTTTAGACCCAATTTTTATAGTTATGTTACAAAGTCCCCAATATTTTTCAACAACTGGGCATCATTTTGTTCCTTTTCAACAACATTTTGATGGATTTTTCCAGAGATTACTGGTAAAAAAAAAACTACACATTGTTTCTTTAGAGGTATAAATTTGAAAAAACACTGCTGATCCCTGATCCCTCACCAAAAGTGAAGCTATAATTCTACAAACTGAGGCTTGAAATTATAAAAGTGACTCAACTGACTGACTGCAGCAAAGGAGAACTTTAAACAGCTCCTGACAACTGGCTAGCATGGCACTTGGCGTTGGGATCAATGAACTGAACAGCACAGGAAAATGTGAAGAACAAAGTAAGTCATATTTTCTAACACTTAGATTTGGCATTTCATTTCTGGGAGGCAGTAAGAACCTCATTTGTTTGTGGTTTTTGTTGCTAGCAAGAAAGATCCAATACGGATGCAGAAAAGCTAAGGGCAGTGATATCATGCGCTTTAGGTCACTTTTGGACTTAAGTGCCTATTATCTATCGTTACATGCACTCCCGAGGACTAGGTCAATCAATCGACCTGTGCAGCAACACGTTCTCACTCCCAGCGCGTCAAAAACAAACGCTTGGTCAGCCATCCTCCGCGTCAGACCCCTGACGCCAAAAGTGCCCTGTTTCGCCACTTAAGTGCGAAGAGGGGTTTTCCCCTTTTCTGTCTGCAGATCCCAATGCAGCGTAAAACTGACGCGATGGGATGCCCTCTGATGCGGCACCGAACCAGCTCATTTAACCACACCTAAACCTTAACGTTTTACTATTTATAACCTTCCCCTCACCCTCATCCTAACCTTAACCCTCTTGCTACCTAAAACGTTACTCTCACTGTGATCAAGCGTTTGTTTCCCATGCATTCTGACTGTGAGTTTTCGTATTTACCGCCCAAGGGGAACGCTAGAACATACCATCTGGTGAGGGGGAGGTTACAAGTACCCTCTAATTTTAACCTCCACCTTGGTAGTTGAAACCTCCCCTTCGCGTTGCCTCGGTCCAAACCCGACCAAAGACGAGGCGGCTCCCGCCGTTCACTTCATAGAGCCGGCTTTTAGAGCGACCGACACATCACTAACGTGTTAGCTAGCAAGATGGTTAAGGTTAGGATAGGGGTGAGGGGGAGGTTAAATAAGAGGATAAGGTTAGGGTGAGGTACAATGAGCTTGTTTGGTGCCCTGGCTGCGGACAACCCATCATGTCAGTGTAACGCTGCATTGGGATCTGCAGTCAGAAAAGGGAAAAACCCCTTTTTGCACATAAGTAACGAAAAAGGGCACTTTTGGCGTCAGGGGTCTGACGCGGAGGGTGGCTGACCAAGCGTTTGTTTTTGACGTGCTGGGAGTGAGAATGTGCAGACATGAGGCTTCCTTTATAGTCTAAAACAAGCCAGAGGGAGTCTGTTTGTAATGAAAAATAGGAAAGAACCACAAATGAGGTGTGTAATCTAAATCTATATGTTCAATTATTTTCAGTAGAGTCTCCAATCACACAGCCAACACCTTGTGCATATATTTACAAAACGTGGTTAACGAATATTAATGCAAACAAATTTCCTAAAGACTGATGGAATAATGGAACAAAATGGCCTGTTTTAGCTTACCTTGAATGGCAGAGACTTCTCATTTAAAGGGCTGATGGGTAGAGACTGGAGGCTGCTGGCAGGACTCGTCTCCGTGCTCTGTAGAGGTGAATCACAAATATGTAAAAACAGCCACAACAGCAGGTTTTTCATACATCACGCTGGCAATAAACACCGAAACAGGTTTTAATCAATACATCAGATTACGAGAAAATGAAGGAAACTGCGTGACGTTTGATTATTCTGTGGAAAGTGTATCCATTCATCTCAGCTGAAACCATTTTGGATTCAACAAAATGCACAAGTGGGTAGGAAGGCCCTCAGTGTGTTTGCTCGGTTTTTCGCATAATCGCTCTGATTTCAGCTGTGATCAGACACATTCTGGCAATCCTCAATAACATGGGTAGCAACTGGGCAGAAAGTGGGGCCAGCTAGAAGGGAATCCAAAACAAACACTCGTGCACACACACATACAGCTTTATAGAGGCATTAATTCAGGTGACAATGAATGAACATGCAGCCCCAAGCAGACGCACAGAAACATAGTTCATCTAAAAACATCAGGCGCTGGTTTAAATGTCACCTCTGAAGGCTTAAACAGGACTTATGGCAAAGCAGGGGAAGATAAAATGAAGTCTTCAGCCTGGACTGCTGATATTGATGCAACACCGTTAAGTAATGGCTTGACAAGAGTACACAACACAGATAAAATGAGAAAGATGAGAAATGCTTCTCCTTGCACTTGGTACTGTGCAGTGTGAACACATTTGTATCACGTTTGGTTTTAGATGAGTGATGTCAGGACAAACAAACAATGGACCGTTATCCTCACATTAATAATAACATTTAATGGAACCATTTAAGTGTTCAGAGAATGTTAAAGGGAGACTGGGCAGTTTTGGCTTGCTTTTAGCACGCCCTAGTGTTCGTTAGAACCAAAGGCAAAACTTAACTCCTCGCAGTGCGTTCGTCGTTTAGCACCTTAATCTAACAGCTGAAATGTACCCTCCGCCTTCCTTAGTGTGTACAGGAGTGATTCATCACTAAATCAAACAAATCAGGTACTCGGCCCAGAATCCCTCTGCAGACCAGGGTGTCAATTATGTTTGAGTCCTGATGATGTGGAAAATGTTTTTGGCAGGATCCCTCATAACCCAGCGTTACTGACCCATTTGAAATAATCCATCCATTTTCTGAACCCGCTTTGTCCATGTGGGGTCTGGTGCCTATTTCCAGCGGTCAACGGGCAATCAGGCAGGGTACAACCTGGACAGAGGGCCAGTCCATCGCAGGGCAACACAGAGACACACAGGACAAACAATCATGCACACACACACACACACACAAGGACAACTTGGACAGACCAATTAACCTAACAGTCATGTTTTTGGACTGTGGGAGGAAGCCGGAGTACCCGAAGAGAACCCACACATCCACAGGGAGAACATGCAAACTCCATGCAGAAAGATCCCAGGCCGGGAAGCGAACCCAGGACCTTCTTGCTGCAAGGCAACAGCTCTAACCACTGCGCCACTGCGCAGCCCCCATTTGAAATAAATTGAAAGGAAACATTGGAGTCCAAATCTTTGGATGGTAGAAATTTGAAGGCTTATTGGTTTGGCTGACCTTTTAAAGACACACACACCTCCCTATCAGAACTATAGGTGTGCCGTGGCGCCAGGCCATCAATATGTCATCTGTGATCAATGCTTTTCCAAACGTAGAGGGACGGGCGTGCACTCACTGACACCCCCCGCACACACACACACACACACACACACACACACACACACACACACACACACACACACACACAGCATCTTTCTTGCTTTTTTCAACACAACCACAGTTTCTTTAAGGTCACCTCTGTCCCACAGGCCTTAACACACAACTGTCCCCACAATTAGACGTGGCTCAGTAAAAAGCCTCCCAGATTTAAGAATTGGCTGCAGGGGAGCCATGAATTTAATGACTTGCAGTACACTGAAACTGAACGTCTACAGATGATGAATGGCTTTAGAACAGAAAGCACGTTTTGTACTTGATGCACACCTTTAATCACATTCTCACATCACTTAAATCAAAAAAAGAAAACCTTCAAATAAGAAAAGGCCAATTCATTTTCTCTCCTGTTCATTGACTTTTGGCTTTTTATGGGGAGGAGGGCCTTATATGAAAATATTATGACATTTAGTTCCTGTGTGAACACGGTATGGAAATCAGACAGGATATACTCTTTTTTTACAGTCTTTCTTCACTATTTCATTTTTTTCCCTGTATAGTAACAAATTGTAGCTCTAGTACTACATGGAAAGTTTTACACATGTTGACTGGTAGCACATTTGCTCCTGTCTGACACAATTCTTTTTGTTTTTTCCCTCAAAAACCAATAACTGAACAAGAGGCTGCCTCAAGGGTCAGAGTCGAACGGACTCGGACCCGGTGGTGGATGTAAGGATATAGTACAACATCCACAAGGGCTGTGAGTAAGTACTGTAACAAATAGGACATGATGCTTTAGCTAGAAACCAAGGCTGACGTTGACAAATGGGGATCATTGTGTTGGGCTGCGTTAAGGCACACATAGACAGCAGCAATTTAGAAATGTTGCTCCATGGAGCCAACAGAATAAACTGCTGAAAGAGAAATAATTTAAGAGCAGGCAGAGCATAGCTGGCGAAAAGGGCCAATGTGACGAATATGATAAGGAGTAGACACTGGAAATATTAAAAGGAGCTCAGTTATCAGGCTTGTGGTCATGCATGCCCGTGTAAAAACACTTCTGTTTTTGAATGGGACGCCATGTTTGCGAATGATTTTGAGATGCTTACGTTTCCCTATCACAGTTTTAGGTTTGTTAGACACAAAATTATAAAATTTTGAATAAGCAAATTAAAATCAACATTGTGCACCACGTTTTCAGTTTTGTCATGCACGTTTACACAATGAAAGCTTTCTTCTAGTTGCTTAATATACCCTCAAATTATCTGCACAACTATTTCTGTCTCAGATGTTTTCTACACAAACGTGAATTTTGATTCCTATTTTCATTTTGGGTTACAAACCAGCATTTTAGAGGATTTGTCCAAAGTTTTTAAAGCGGATCGTAGATCATCAAATACATATTTGGCTTTGATGATAAAGTGGGGCAAAACACATTATGTCAAAAAATCTAACTTTCTGAGTGCAATGAATTTTCCACGTATTGTTATAATTTTCATTTTGCCTTCAATTATGAGAATCAACTTTTAAAGATCTTTTTAAATAGGATGATTTTCATTTAACACTGAAATCCTTGTAGGTAAATAAAATGGATGGATGATAAAATCATCCATCCATTTTCATCCGCTTATCTGAAATCGGGTCGTGAATCCAGCAGCCTAAAGGTTGGTTTATGCTTGACGCGTCCGCGAGGTCCGCACGGCTCCGCGTGGAAAAGTTGCGTCATTTTGCGTCATTTTAACAACCACGCCCCTCCACCGCGCCTCCGCACGGCCCAGAATTTCCGCAACACGCACCTCGGAAAATTTCTAACCACGCGGAAGGACAGACGCGGAAAAACATGGCGGACCGGCAAGAACTAGTATGGCAGAGGTTCGTAAATATAGACATTTGTAAGATTCAGCTCTCAGAGATCACCGTGATCAACATGTTGTTAATAATTCTTGGAGAGAAATAGCTCGCACTGTCGGAAAAGACGAGAACGCTGTTAAAAATGCTGGAATGCCATGTTGTAAACAGTAATTTCTACTTCTACTATGGTGTAGTGTTGGGTGCATGCCGTAGAGCTCCATGCTGCCCCCTACAGTTTGGGAGAATATTGGCTCACCGCAGAGACAAGCCGCACGAACCATAAACGCTGCGAGTTGTGAAGGGCGTTCTATCCGCGAGTCGCATCACCGCACGGAAAGTGAATGCGTCAAGCATAAACCAAGCTTAAGCAGGGAGGCCCAGACTTCCCTTTCCCCAGCCACTTCGGCCAGCTAGTCCAGGGGAATCCCAAGGAGTGCCCAGGCCAGACGAGCCACTTTCACATAGCCTGGCCTGCCAGACTCGCCCTCTGTCTATTCTACACAGAGAACGAGTCTGGATACTTGTTGTGGTTCTATAGACATGTCATGACATATTTATGAGAAACTGAGCGTTGCGGTGTGTGATGTATGCTGCTCAGCGCTGATTGTCTCGGTTAGAATTCTCTGGGGATGGGGTTATTTGAATGGGAGCGTTACCAGGCCCATAAGGTAGCATTGGCATGGCTGGCCAGGCTAACTTTTAACACTAGCATTGGCTTCCACTCCACCTGGACCGGGTTTGGAGTCCTCTCAGGATTTTCCGGCGTTCAACCGGACATCTTTTCAGCCCTCTTCAGAAGGAGGTCTACCTGGAACCAAACTGGTCCACTACTGACTGATTGGCTGACTCTAAATCACACATACCATTAGGGGGAGCCTCCGATTGGCAGATTGAATCAACCCGCGGGGGCTTCCCACATGTGTGATTCATTAACGAGCTTCCGCCTGAAGCCATTTTTCTCTTTTTTTTCTCTTTTTGCTCTTTTGCCCCGCCAACGTGCTCAGAGATGCACTAATGACATCACTGACATCTTATTTTCATGCCAATTTTGGACACCACCCATTTGCTCAATCACATCCATATTCCTAAGGCAGTGTGGAATGAATTCGGCCAGCCTGGGGCGGGTGGAGCGGAGTGCTAGTGTTCAAGTGGCAATAGTCCCTCCAGCATGTCCTGGGTCTTCCCTTGAGTCTCCTCCCAGTTGGACGCGCCTGGAAAACCCCATCAGGGAGGCGACCAGGAAGCATCCTGACCAGATGCCCGAGCCACCTCAACTGGCTCCTCTCAATGTAGAGGAGCAGCAGATCTACTGCGAGCCCCTCCTGAATGACCAAGCTTCTCACCCTATCTCTATGGGAGAGCCCAGACACCTGATTTTTCTCCCACATAATATATCAGGAATCCAGGAAAAGTACCAGGAAAATTAAGCGAATGAGTCCAACTTTCTGGAAACAATTTAATCTGAATCTATGAACCTAAACAGCTCTGAAGCAGGTAATGAGCTCTGCTTATGCTTCAACTGAGGTATAACCAAATTCTATTAGACCCACTGTGACACAGAATTTTTTTTTCATGCAAACATAAATGGTAACTTTGCTCTAATTATACCCCTTAAAATATTAAAGAACAAAAAAAACCACAATAAAACTCAACAAATATGTAGCAATAACTTAATTTGCAATTTAATGAAACAGCAAAGAAACCAGTGAGGGCAAATTGTCTCCTCTTTCATATTCATCTCTTACTGCTATCCTCCCTCCATATCCCCCCAGTTTATTCATCAACATGTTTGTTTATATCATTATACGCATTATTCTTTCATTGTTATTCTTGATGTCAGTGGTCTTGGGAGAGAGAAAAGAATCAACAGCAAATAGATCAAGAAAAAGCAAATATACATGCCTCAATGGACTGCAATTTAAAACTGGCTTTGATCTGCTGGAGAGTTGAATAGAAGTAAAATCTGTTGTGTTTTTTGGTGTGTCCATATGTCTACGGAAAATGTGTAATTAAAACAGGTGTCTATACTCATTCAACAAATATAACCTGTCAAGTGACGGTGTGTATTTTCTCTGGCGATCGGGGGCAGTACATGCCTAAATCATAGCAAGCAAGCTAAATTAGCCATTAGGGTCAAAACTCCCTGGGAGCGCAATTTTTGAATGAGTACTTCATCAGATCATTTGACCTCCAGCAAAATGACTCCCTTTGACCACTGGCAACAACTGAAGAGGTAAATGTGAAAAACAATGTTTAACGTATTTCACAGACTTTAACATGGACGCATTTGTCCCTCATTTTCCTCCACCTCTTCATGCATTCGCCACCTCTAAACGGACATTTCCCATCATTTCCATCCACAAATAAAACACTTGATGCGCATACTTTTTCTCATCCAGTCACGAGTGAATAAAATGTTCATATATTTATTAATCAATATTATTTAAGCTGCTCCGTGTCTGCCACTAGATATCTTCGGCCCTCTTTATGTTCTTGAGGGCAAAATGGCAGAGCTGTTGATGAGAGCTCATTCAACAAATGCTTAGCAGTGTTTCCCCTAGGAATTTTTCCAGCTGTGGCGGTGGGGCCGGCCGGGGGGGGGGGGGGGGCTTGGGGAGAAATTATGACACATCTCTAAATAACAACCCATAGAAGCACTGATTTGATCTCATTTCAGAGAAAAATAGAACAGGTTAGATGCATCTAATGAATAAAATTACTAACAAACTCAGGAATCAGTTTCTTTGCTTCACTGTTCTGGTGCTGAGAATATCACTAATGCGGATCAAAGGAGATACACAGATAAATGCACCTCTTATTTATTATTTGGAGACTACATTTACTGCAGCTGGCAGAGGCAGAGATTTTTTCTATTGATACACAGAATTTACAGAATCATTTTAAATTTTAATAGGGGAAGACTGCAGGAGGGAGCGGTAAAATGCAGGGGGTCCCCAGCAAAAACAAGAAACTTTACGAGTCTGATGAAACCTGCCGGTTTTCCATCAGGCAGTCACAGGGCAGCTCCAACGACCCAGTGGCTGTGCTGGGTCAATGTTATCGAGCCCAGTCCGGCTCGGCAGAGGGTGAACGAGCCGAGGCGACGTCCTGCTCTGCCTAAGAAGAGGCGTTATTTTCCCGCTTCAGAAAAAGCGTCCAACGTGTTTTTACGCTTTCTCCGAGAAATGTCACATCGCTAAGTTGTTAGCGCTGCGCGCTAGCACGTCAATAGTGCAGCGTAGCCTGCTGGAGGTTTTAAGGGTTCAGATGAAAACACCCGACCTCTCAGGCTGCTCACACATCGATCTTAAGTTGTCGCTGTTGCGCTCACATTGTAATACAGTATTAGATGCCGTTAAGTCAGACACGAAAAAATAAATAAATTTTACATGAATAAGTGATGCTTAGCCTGGTGGGGGGAGGAAACCCTGTCAAGATCGTCAACACTCGTTTATCTTAATATTGTTGAAACATGTAAACCAAAAAGCATTATATTCACTGCTACCTTTCTAATTTTAAACTCAGTAACGTATGCTGTAACTTCACCTTGCCCTGCCTGCTCCTCCTTGCTGCCTGCCGGCTGTGATCACAAGCGACAACATAGTAGTTCCCGCTGCTTCTTCAGGAAACAGCGCAAAAAAATTAAATAAATAAATAAAATCTTGGGATCTTGTAGGCGTGGCGGTGGGATTTCAGCCGTGGCGGCCCGCCACGGTTACGTCTATGTAAGGGAATCCCTGCTTAGAAAGGTGGGCTCCAGGGGCGGATTTAGGACTGAAGAAGATCCGGGGCTTAACACACACGCGCGCGCGCACACACACGCGCGCGCACGCGCACACACACGCATGCGCGCACACACGTGACACGCACTAGTCAACATCATATATATTTGTCTTGTACCACATAATGTTTAATCTGAAGCTACATATTCAGCATATTCAGGGCAGAGTATTGTTCCTGTTAGTGTTTAGTGTGAGATGATAGTGAATATTCCCTTTCTTTCTCCAACAACTTTACCTGATAGTAAGCTAACTTTAGGCAAACCAGCAGCACAACAAATATTTTCAAATAAGACTCACAAACCTGAGTCAACACCAGTCTCATCAGAGCTGGGGTTCTGTCGTTGTACTTTTGGTCTAAAAAAACGTCCTTATATCCATCTTCACTCATGCGTTTCAGACAGAGACTGCAGAAGCCAGCTGCTGAAGGGCTTCTCTTCAGTCTCAGGTAAACTGTATACTGACTAAGTAGCCTAGTGGTAGAGTGTCTGCCCTGAGATCGGGAGATCAGGGGTTCGACTCCTGGTCGGGTCATACCAAAGATTTTGAGAAAAATGGGACCCAATGCCTCCCTGCTTGACACTCAGCATTGGATTGGGGTTGGATTGGGGGATTAAACCACCAAATAGTTCCCGAGCGCGGCGTGTCTGCAACTCAGGGGATGGGTCAAAATCGGAGAATAAATTTCACCACACACCTGTGTGTGTGACGACTAAATGGGACTTTACAAACTACTGCCAGCTGCACCCTCTCTGTGTGACTTTGATACTGCATGTTACTTCCGCGATTTAGATCCGGGGCTTAACATGAAAGATCCGGGGCTTCAGCCCAAGTAGCCGGGCCTAACGCCGCCCCTGGTGGGCTCGACTCGGTCCGTCCTTGCGAGCCTACTGGAGAGCCCTCGCAAGGATGGATAACGGCGCTGCTTGTCTCTGCACCAACTAAACTAGGCTTAAGTGTCTTGCTCTGGTGGGAGCCGGGATCAAACTTGCAAACTTCCGATTACTGGACAACCCTCTCTACCTCCTGAGCTACAGCTGTCCCATTAAAAAGCATCAACACCTGCTTGTGAGGAACGACTCTTACTGAAATTGTGCTGATTAACCTCTTATAGGATTTTTTTTTACTACAAAAGCTCATTTACATTTTAGCAAGATTGTAATGTGAACTTCAATTACAGTTGTTTACACAATATCAAGCTCATCCTGCTCTGTTCAAACATGAACAGGTGGTTAAAATGTTAACTTTTTAAAAATTCTTTTAGGCCAGAACATTGCAGCATCAACTTCACATCCCAATGCTAAGCACATTAACAGCTGAAGAACTGCATGACTGCACACTGTGTAGTCAAACCATGTGAGGCTACAGTGCTGCAACGTGTCAGCGCCTCCTTAAGTGACGATTACAGCTAATCACATTTGTAATTTTACCGGGATGCAGACATTCACGCTGAGACGGTCCTGTAGCCCGAGGTAAAAACTTTAGCTTTGAGTAGATCGAGGCACTTAAAGAAGAGAGCAATAGTCTGTGACAGGGGGATTATTGTGTGTTAAGTGTGTTCCTCTGCACATATAAAGAGCACTATGGCAGACACTTAAATACATATCTCAGCTTCCTCAGTCTCAATAAAGGAAGAGTTAAAAAAGAACTTTGACAAGATTCCATAAAGCTGATTAAATACAGGTTTTTTTTTATTTGTTTCCAGATCAAAATGTTTTTTATTGCCTCCTCTGTGATGCAACTTTACAAACATAAACCTTTCACAAATATCTGTATGTTTACATGCATCACTCACCTCTTGCAATGTCCGTCTCAGCCTTAAAAGCAGGGTTTTGACAGCGGTACAGTCCTGCAACATCAGCCTGAGCGGAACGGTCTCCAGCCCTGGAGGTAAGGGGTCATCGTCCTTCCCCAAACCCAGCCCTGCGCTGAAATCAGCAGGCAGCAGGCTGGTTGGACGGCTGAGTTCCCTGGAGGCAAAAGAGTGAGACATAAAGAAATGTAATGTTAGTATGAGCCAGTGTGAAAAACAGAATCATTGACCTGTCTTCACCTCTCCCTGCTGATGTTACTGTTGCCATTGGTGTGTATTCATGGTGAAGATGATACATTACACGGCAAAGTGGAGAAAACAGCTGTTTCTGGGTATCCAAGTAATTCCCAGAACTCAGTGTGGGATCATGCGTGACCGAGGGAAACGCAGAGGCAAGGTCCGAACAATAACTTGGCAGCACAGAGAACAATACGATGTGCCAGTTTGATTCAACACCATATTTCCTATAATATCATGAACAGTACTGACACACACATCTGCTATTCACAGGTTTTTCAGCCTATTAAAGCCCTGTGTTGAGATACTGAACAACACAGACACACAGCTCTACAGGACGGTTGTTTCAAAGCAAAGTTCATTCTGCAGTAATTGTGTCTTTGTTTCATTAAACGCTGAAAGGACGGAGTGGTCAGTATGAGCTATTTTTTAAATTCATAAACTATTTAACAGAAACCATGGATGTAACTGAATGTGTGACAGTTTGTTTATGGGCTCTTATAGATTGGACAGTTTAACAGATAACTCTTGGTTAACTGCTTGTTTATCTGGGACAGAAAACGATTCTTCCTGGATCTGGTTCTTCCCGTTAAAAACTATTTTTCCTTTCCACTGTTGCCCGCTGACCTGTGCATGCTCAGGATGGGGAATTGAATCCAAGTGGTGATTTTCAAGCAAGAAATGACTTAATCCTGGATGCAGTAATAGTAGTGTTTTACCTGCAAGTCCTAACCCTAACAACAAGTTCCTTGCCCACTGGGAATGTTTCAGGTGCAAAATGGCAGCAAAAGTGTTCCAAGCAGCTGGTTGGAAAAGGTCAAGAAATATCCAGAGAATTGCAAGACCACGCGGGATTTTGGCTGTTCACGTGATTATCAAGGAGAAAGGCAACAGCAAAAAAGGTCCGTGGTTTATTTTCTGTTCTGTTTACCCTGAGCCCTTTTCAGATAGACATTCTGGAATATGTGTGGACAATTCAATCCGGTTTTTAACCAGAACTGTGTTTTCAGACACACCACATTTGTACCGGAACTTGTCCTTTCGGCTGCCTTCACACAGCAGGGAAAAGTTCCAGAAGTCTTAGGGGGAGGGGGTCGGACTTATGTTAAGCATAACTCTGCACACGAAGATGCATAAGAGACCTGGATGATGAAGCTCAATGGTTAAAGGAATCACTGAAGCGGTGTGAAGCACTCCGTCGCGCGTCTAGACGGTACCGTAGGAGGTGAGCTGCCATGGTTCGCCACATGCTACAGCAGCGAGCTATCTAGGTGCGCACAGTGTCCCCCGGTCCCTTCCTCCTCCCCCTCCCCCTTGTCCGGAACTCGACCTCACCAGTCTGAAGCAGCCACCTTGTCTGTAACAAGTCCGGACCTGTTACTAGGGGCGTCGTCCAGTTAAATTACGGAAAACGTTATCCGGATGTTTGTATTCAGACACAAAAATCTTACGGACAGAGTCCGGAACATTTCCGTTTTTCATGGCCTGTCTGAAGGGGGCTTTGGTTACAGAGCTAAGTCTGCATGTGACTTTCTTTTTGAATGTTACTGGATGTTTTACACCTATTTGACTTGCTGTCTGGCCCAAACTGAACAGCTGAATTTTAAGTGTATTGCAAATATACTTGGGAGCTTAAATTATGCAGGAGCATTGTGTCCTAAAGGTGATGCTTTGCGGCCGGCGTAAATGACACTCATCCACTATACCGGCTGCAAACTGATGAATATTGTTTCACAGACGTTTCATGGAAAGGCCCAGTGAATCTAAAATGATGTAATTATTTTACAGGGTGGGCCATTTATATGGATACACCTTAATAAAATGGGAATGGTTGGTGATATTCACGTCCTGTTTGTGGCACATTAGTATATGTGAAGGGGCAAACTTTTCAAGATGGGTGGCGACCATCACACTTGGAGCCAACTTTTGTTTTTTTCAATAGGAAGAGGGTCATGTGACACATCAAACTTATTGGGAATTTCACAAGAAAAGCAATGGTGTGCTTGGTTTGAATGTAACTTTATTCTTTCATGGGTTATTTACAAGTTTCTGGCCACTTATAAAATGTGTTCAATGTGCTGCTCATTGTGTTGGATTGGCAATGCAACCCTCTTCTCCCACTCTTCACACACTGATAGCAACACCGCAGGAGAAATGCCAGCACAGACTTCCAGTATCCATTGTTTCAGGTGCTGCACATCTCGTATCTTCACACCATAGACAATTGCCCTCAGATGACCCCAAAGATAAAAGTCTAAGGCCTGGTTTATACTTCTCCGTCAGCTCCGCAAGAGACTGACACGCATGGATTGACGGAAGCGTTTTGCTCTCATACTTCTCCATCTCCTGGAGAGTGTTGCAAAGCAATTGCCCGGCAGGACAGCAGAGGGCGTAGCGCTGTTCTGTGGTATCCTGTCATGTATCGGTCCAAGATCGTGTGTTTATATTGTGTTTTTTGTGTATATAAGAGACTTTTAACACGGACATATTTGTCTCTCATTCTCCCACCTCTTCATGCGCTCCCCACCTCTAAATCCACGTTTCCTGTCATTTCCGTCCACAAATAAAACGCTTGCTGCGCATCTTTTCACTCCTCCAGTCACGGGAGAATTAAACGTTCATATTTTTAGAGTTTTTTCGCAAGGTATTCTTCAAGCTTCTCCGTGTCTGCCGCTAGTTATCCTCGGCTCTCTTTGCAATGGCGGCGCTGTAAACAACTGCGGCGTCCTGACCAATCACAGGCTTGCGTAATCAGTCTCGTTCGACGGATGTTTAAAAAAGTGGGCTCGACTCCGTACGTACTTGCGTGCCTGCCGGAGCCCTACGCAAGGACGGATAATGGTGTTGCGTGTCTCCGCACTGACGCAGACGGAGAAGCATAAATCAGGCTTAAGGGGGTCAGATTTTATTTGTCACATAATCCTCTTCCTATTGAAAAAACAAAAGTTGGATCCAAGATGACCGACTTCAAAATGGCCACCATGGTCACCACCCATCTTGAAAAGTTTGCCCCCTCACATATACTAATGTGCCACAAACAGGACGTTAATATCACCAACCATTCCCATTTTATTAAAGTGTATCCATATAAATGGCCGACCCTGTATATTCTGACTGACCTGACTCGAGAAGAAGTTTCTCGCTAGGTGGCGATATATAAATAAGCTGAACTGCTATAAAATCATGGTTGCATAGTGATAAATGATAAATGACCCACACTTGTATAGCGTCTCTTAGAGTAAGGACTCCAAAGCGCTTTACACTACAGTGTATCATTCATCCATTCACACACACACATTCACACACTGGTGGTGATGAGCTACGATGTAGCCACAGCTGCCCTGGGGCGCGCTGACAGTGGTGCAGTGGTTAGCACTATTGCCATGCAGCAGGAAAGTCCTGGGTTCTCTCTAGGTAGTCTTCTACCTTGATGATTTTTTTTCCTTCCTTTAAAAATGGAAATAGGCCAAGTACACAAAAAGCTTCTAACTTCATATTAAAAACTAGAAAGCATTTTTTGAATGTATCAATTAATTTCATCCGTTCCATTAAACTTCATTTACAATTTACCATTTACCTGCCACCTTGTGATATTTCAACAGAAGAGCAGACATGAGGACTGTGCATCTCAACTTTTTTTTTAAATGACATTTTCAAAAGGTGAGCTGAGAAATTCAACCCTCTTGTGTGAAAAGCACCCAGACAACCTCGAAGTTCACAGTCTGCATAACAAGAGAAGGAGGAGACAGAGTGATTGCAATAAAGCAAGGCAGTCGTTGCAGCAGAAGCGAGGAGCTCTTTATCATCAAGAGAACATGTTCACGTTGACTGATGGCCATTTAGAGGAGGGTGAGAGGAGATGAGAAGGTTTCTGTCACGTTCTCGCAGAAAAATGACCAAGTAAACAGTGGCAGGAAATGGTTTGTCCGACAGTAAATTCTGTGGAGGAATCTTTTCTTTACCAAAAAAAGACAATATCAGAAAAATATCAATCACCCGGAGCAATTTAAAAGACTACCCACTGCTAAGGTCGAGCTGATTTGCTGCCTCATACATTTTTCTTAGCTCATTCACCATCCCATCAGAATTTGTCTTTTCACCATCATTCATGCACCATAACCCCGCCTTTATGTCCGGATCTTCATTTTCCTCCTTACTGATAGATCCGTCTCAATGCCTTACCCACTAATTCAGCCCTGTTCTTTCCTTCTCATTAGCCCTCATCTACCAAATCTTCATCTTTGCGCCCGTTTCACCCCCACCCACCCCGATTCACTGTGACGACTTTTACACAAATGAGGTATCAATGCCTCCGGTGTCCCTCAGAGGAGCCTAGAGCTGTAGCTCAGACAAATGTCGATGAAACACGCAGTCCTTTGAGGACAGGTAAATACTGTCTGTCAGGTCGCTCTGGGTGCCTTTGTCCTCACTCGAAAACTGTATTGTTTGCAGTGTTTTGTCATCCTGGTTGACATCTCTGGAAGGGTGAACCTCCTCCATGTTTTTGTCTGTTGCCCCACATGTTATTCAGGAGGGATGAATTGAAAGTAAATAAATGAAAAAAACATCAGTCGTGCATTCTTTATTGCTGAGCGCTGCGTCAAACGGCACAGTGCTAAACTTTTTTTTCTTTTGTCACAAGTTGTGTTGTTTCTTTCGAAGTGACATGTTTACCCTCAGTGTGGCTTTTGCCACAGTTGGAGTTTCTTCGTTTGAATAAGTTTTGCATTAAATACACATAATAACACGAAAATGTGAGAAAGGTTAAAAAAAATCGATGTTATAAACTCGAATAAAAAAGACGTGGCCCCTTTATGCCAAAAGACTAGCTGTTTAAAGCTAATTGAAGTTGTTGGATAAAGTATATGACGGCTGTAAACAGTTTTACTGTTGAAAATGTTCTAAAGCATATGAAGAGTA